AATTGGAGAAAGTTCTGACACATCCCGTCATTGATTTGTTCAATGCACTTAATCAGTGTTTGAAAGGGAGCATAGTCTCCTGGTGAAATGGTTATGTAAATGTGTGTGTCATCCGCATAGCTATGGTAACTTGTTTTGTTGTTTTTCATTATCTGAGCCAGTAGTAGCATGTAGATGTCAAAGAGAAGAGGCCCCAAGATGGAGCCTTGAGGTACCCCACATGTCATATTTGTCAATTCAGATGTGTATTTACCGATAGAAACAAGGTTTTTTCTGTCCTTTAAGTAGGATTCAAACCAATTTAGAACTGTTTCCGAAAGTCCCACCCAGTTTTCTAGTCGGTCTAGTAATATGTTGTGGTCAACAGTGTCAAATAGTTTACACAAGAGATGAGCATGACCATACATCAGGCCATCTACTGGCACCTAAACTCAGGACAAATCTTCTGAAATCTTCTGTGTCTTATAGAGCTATAAAGGAATGTAACTCATTGCCAAACTACCTTGCTGAAATAGAGTCCAGAGCCTCTTTCAAAAAGAGATTGAAGGGCCATCTACTAATGACCATGTACCCTTGTGAGCAGTGAACCCTAATTTAATTTGATCTCATGCTTTGTACTGGTGGGTGTCTAGTGCACTCATCCTTGGCTGAGATTGATATTGAAAGTGGATGAGATTGTTGATGATGTTGGAAATTGTTGATGATATTGGTGATGTTGTTAATGATGTCAGGAATTATGTCTTGAATGTTGTTGTATTATTGTTGTATTATTGTTGTATTGTTTTAAGTCGGACCCCAGGAAGAGTAGCTTTTGTCAAGAGCAAAAGCTAACGGGGATCCTTAATAAACATAAACATAAACGCAGCACTGAGATCTAATAATACTAACACTGAAGTTCTGCCACTGTCTGTGTTTAAGTGGATGTCCTTGAAATCCTTTAAAAGAGCAGTCTCAGTACTGTGGTTTGGATGAAAGCCTGACTGGAACACATCGAAACAGTTATTTAAATGCAAGTAATTACTTGCTACAGTGGAATTTTCTACTGCAACAATCCCCACGCAAATACATAGTGTACCCGCGACAGTTAAAATGAAGGCTCGATAATCAGCTCACGGCATATAGGAGTAAGCAGGGGTAAAGTGCCATTTTAACAAGTGGAGAGTGGACCTAACATAGGGGGGTCCGGGGGCATGCTCCCCCGGGAAGATTTTTTTTTTAAATATTGAAGTTAAAAGCATCAATCTGGTGCACTTTGAGAGAAAAATGAGGAGATCTATGGATACATCTCTCAACACCCATATGAAACAGAACTGTAAACAGATTTACTATTTATTTATGGATATTTTACAAATCTCTCCCGTCATATAGTATTTCATACCGGTTTTTCATTTATTCTCTTATTTTTTTATAACTATAATGATCATATAAATGTGTGCCTCGGAAATAATTCTTTACATTAATCGTGACAGAAACGTTTGAGACCCGTTGAGTCCTTTAGTTCACTGAGCCTCTCCACCTTGCTGTTGAAAAAGCTCCTTATATCCGTTAGCGTAGCTCGCTAGCACCAGAAGCTAACAACAACGATCTCCGGTACCGGTTCGCTCTCTCTCTCGCCGCGCACGCACACAAAATGGCTCGTTCCACACACACACAGAGCCGAGCTTGAATGAAACACAGAGACCCAGACGTACTTGTACTGTATCATATTATTTTCGAAACAATAATTTTTCTAATTATGAATTTTTTTTTTTTTTTTCATAACCATTTTTCCTCCTGTTCTCTCGCGCCCCCCTGTCATGCCTCTGTGCCCCCCAAAACTAAATCTAAAATCTAAGCACAAACAACTTGAGTTAAAATGTGTTGGGCTTGTTTTTTTGTCATGCGTTTTATAAAATAAAACAAAAAGAACTCAAATAAAAGTGATACATTTTACAACACTAATGAAAAGTCAGATGTCTGCACAAAACAATTGTCCTAAAACATTTCAATATGAAAAAGAAAAAGCCATATTGTTCAACCCTTTCAACAATCCGAGAATACATTTAAAGGATACATTATTTTCACAAGTTTGATTTGCAAATTGTTCTCATTGTCCCCTGTTTATTACATTTACGTATAAAACACCCTTTATATATTTAAAATAAATTACTTAAGCATTGTGTATGAGCAAAAAACATCTGCTGAAGGCTCTGAGTGTGGGCTGTGTGAGTGTCATCATCACCCTCAGTGAGATGAGACAGATGACGGCAGAGCCTGTCTTATCGGCTCCATATGTCTGCTGGGTGTGTGTCTGTGTGCCTGCTGGCACTTGTCAGCAGCAGGCAACCAATCAAGAGTTCAAGGAAATACTTCTCATATGTCCTGGAGAGAAATGTAGAAAACAGTTTTCAGAGAGGATGAAGACGATTGCGTCTCTTCACCCCATGAGCTGCCAAAGAACTGCAACAATGTTGACTCACTGTAAGGAAGCACTATTTTGCAAATTTTCTTCACGACTTATTTTTTCTGGCGATCACAATATATTTATGTAATTTTCACAACATTACAAATCTCGCTTTACCAAAATCAAGACAGAGCCATATTACCTTTAATTAAAAAAACATTTTGTGATCTCAAATTAATGATGTCATAAATTGAACATGTTATCTCGGGAAAACAGAGGAAATAATTTGTTTAACAAATAACCGTTAAGGGCCAAGGTATATGTGAGGAATAAAGTTCAAAACCATTATCTGTGGAAATAACATGTGATGGTAGAAATGTTTCTACGGAGATATTCCGGTTAAAAAAAAAAAAATGGTATGAAGAAATGCAGGTAAAATGTGTTTTTTTTCAAGTAGCGAGTAGTGAGTCAAAAAAAATGAAATGAAATCTTCATACATCTTTCTTTAATCCCAAATAGTTTGCACAGATATTTACAGACCAAGATACAATTCTATACTTAGTGGCTTTAATAAAAATGATGTACGAAACAAAAATACACATATAAGTTTTGTTTGATTTGGTATTAAAATAATACAAAATATTGTCAGAAGGTAAAGTTGCATTAATACTTTTTTTAGTCACTAGAGGGCATACAAAAGCTGAAAGACATAGCACTGACATATTATAAGGTGGTTCTGGCAATTGTGTTAGCAAACTGCGTATTTACCTATGCTATTTACAGAACAGCAACTTTAACATCGCATTGCAGTTGTGTTTTTGTCAACCCGATGCAAATATGTGCAGCTTTTAATCTTCTTTTACTTATTTTGGTTCCCAACAAGTCCTGAGAAAAGTAACTTTATTTCCCCTGGATGCTGCATTATGTTCACCTGCTTGCTCTAACTCCATTAGACTGCTGATGCTGCTGAGCAGGCAGTTTATAGTTGTTTGATGATTATATCGAACGTATAGGTTAAATAGATGATCCCCAGAGACATTTTGACAAGGTAATAAAAATGAAAAGTACAAGATTTGTCTGAGAAATGTAAGACAGTATACAAATACTGTTTGACTTGTATACTGTGCCTGCTAACTATAACATGTTGTATATTAAAGGGTCAATCTGTAGTTTCTTTCTTGGTTCACATACATGATTCAAGAGTTACTTTCACGAGTAAATAAAATATCTATATTTTTTGTCCTGCAACTCATTCAACATTTAAAATATGGGCACTTTTTACTCCCAATGTTCACAGCAATAACTGATGGATGAAAGCAAATGTACTACCTTTATCCAGAGGTAAATAAAGTCCCGGGCGCCGTACATAATGGCAGCCCACTGCTCCTAACACTAGGATGGGTCAAATGCAGAGAAATAATTTTGTTACATAGTACCTGTACTACGTAATGACAATAAGTTGAATCTTCTTCCTTTTCTAAAGATTTATTTAAAAAAAAAAAAATGTAGGTTAAGAATGTTTAACTCTTATTGATGTGAATAAACCTTTTTTAGGAATATATTTAGGTTACTTTTTTGATCAATTTGAGATAATTAGCACATTAATTTTTCTTAACATTTTTAACAGTGAGACTTCTTTATTTAAATGCTTATCCCAGACTCAAACCATAAATATATCGAGGGATAATAGGTCAAAAGACCATTAGCTTATAATGTTATCCACATTGATGTGTTAACATAGCATGTGTCATTTCATTATCCATTCATTTATCAACTTGTTGAAAACATAAAAACAATTTCCGGAATTATAAAAAATAATAATAAAGTAAAATGGTTGGTTTAAAGGGAACTTTTTCTGTTTCATAATTGTATTTTGTGCCTTTACTGAGACATGTTTATATGCTTTAATGTTCAGCAGCTCTTTATTGTTCTCATACTGCCTGTGCTGCAGCACCTCTTTTCACCCTCTGTCTGAAACCAGAGCCCAGTCTGCTCTGATTGGTTAGTTAGCATGCTCTGTTCTGATTGGTCAACTGCTTAGAGATGTTCTGCCCCTTAGCCTATCACATACAATATGTTGGAGCGCTTGCCAATAGCAGCGCGAGTAGTGATGTCACTATGTTACGGAGTTAACAAAGGAGTCCAAACTAAGGTGTTTCATTCAGGGAAGAAAACAAAAATCTATATAAGACACTACAGGAAGGGGAAATCCTAAAAAGCACAATAGGGCCCCTTCAAAATGTTCTTCCACCTGTCCCTACTGAGCTATCAAGTAAAAAAATATGCTGGACTTCGGTTCATTTTTACCCTGTTGTTTAAAACATTCGTGTATTCCTGTATTTGGAAAGGATAGTGTTAATACTGTTATGCTTTGCATCTCCTAAAAAGTATGCTCTTGTTTTAATTTCAGTTACTTTGGAAAAAGAATGTTTAGAATAACGACAGGAGATGAAAACAAAGCAGTTGTCTTTTTAGTTGGCTAACAGAAAGTTGCTGTTGTTGGAGCTTCCTTTTCGGATCTCTGTGACCAGGGTATGGAGCTTCTCTGACAGCGCCACCTGGAGGGAGAGAAAGCCAAAGATAAGATAGGACTTATTTAGCATTCTGTATCTGTGAGGAGGTCTGAGAAAGATTGTTCTCAGTGTGTGAAGCTCACTGTGTAAGAGTCTGGCTCCTGCAGCCTCTTGTGTCGAGAGTGCAGAGTCTGGAGGGAGCTCTGGACCTTTGCTCTAGTTTCTGTAGCGCTGCACAGAGGCTGTGTGACCTAAAGAGTGGGAGACACATTCATGAAGACTTAACTCCTACGCAGCAATATCATCTTGTTTTGTGCTGTTCAATGCCTTCTAAAACATACTTTATCATATCAAATACTTATCAAATCTCTATTTTTAACAATGAATGTTTGTAAGGGAGTATAGTAGATGTCATTGATGTCATTTTATTACCTGTGCTTTCTCTTTGTTTGAGATGCCTATCAAGTAACCTAATCAAGTACATGACTGTGTATATGCCTTAGTATTACTTTCCCACAGTACCTCTCTAAAAACATGTCCCTAAACTGGCTGCTCTCTGATGTGGTTAAGCATAGAGAGAAAGACAGATGGGGAAGAATACAAATCGCCCACTTTTTGGGTGTGTCATCCCCATGAAGTCCAGAGGGGCTCAACTGTCCAATACATCAGTATATCAAGCAGTGAGAGAAGTTATCAGGTCCTTCAGCACCAGTGATGGAAAGGGTACTCAGGTCTTTTAATTGAGTAAGAGTATACTGTTGCATACATCGAAACTACTTAAGGAAAGTGGAAGGACCTCAAAATTGTAATTATTTGCAGTACTTGCAGTGGTGTAAAACCATTCTTACCAACGCAATGTAGTTAAAGTATCAAAAGTACAATTCCTCACTCTGCAAACAAGGTCCCAAAACATGATAAAAACATGTTTGGTCTCGCAACAAAATTCTTCTTACTACTGAAATAAGTCCACAATGGAGCTAATGCTCTGTGTATACAGACTCCTCCTCCACCTCTGGTGTACACTCAACACACTGTGTTGAAAAAATGAATAGCAATATGGATGTGATGAGAAAGAAAGAACAACAACCAAAAGAATCCTGAAACAGTATATATATATATATATCTATATATATATATTATAAATGTCAGTTATGTTGTAAGGATTTCAGACTTTGAGCATCCTCACCTGTCCTTTGGTGAACATGTCCTGGCGCAGACAGATGACCTGAGCGGGAATGACTGACACACAGGACGTGTCGCAGCTCAGAGGGTAACAGCTCACAGAGACCCCTGCCTCAGGAGGAGCCTCCGCTACCAGACACACCAGGTCCAGAAAAGCATGGCCTGCAAGGGAGGAAAGAGAGCTGTGAAATTTACACACAGAGGAGCTCAGTGTACTGTTTGTCACATCAAACGTTTCTACTCTAACAGATTTTTCATTTGGGAAGAAAATACACTGTTATGAGGGTGGCCATGGTTTAACCCAAGGCTAAAGGTTTATATGCTGCCAAATTTCAGTTCAGTCAAATGCAAACAACATGGATCAACTTTAATTGGTGTGGCCTTGGGTCAGTTACCTTAAACTGGTTTTAGATTAGGCTAGTCTAGTAAAGTCTGTTTCATAAATATTAAGACTAACCTTAAATGGAGTAGCATAGTCAGACACCTTTCCCCCTGGCTAAAGAATGAGGTGAACCTTTTGCTATGGCAACAATCTATTAGAAAGGCAGTTAGCTCACTATTCCGACTGTTTACCCAGCAGACAGGTTTTCAGCGGGTGTAAAGTGTATAGATCTACTGCTGCTAAGTGACGCTGTTGCTGTTCATCGACCATCTTTTTTTGTTGTTGTAAGTGTCATATTTTACCTATAATATATTGCGCAACAAGCTATCTAAGTTAATCTTACAAAAATGCACTCAAAGGGGAGGCTTTATGCAACAGCCCATGTACATGCTAAGATTAGCCTTATCTGGGTACATTATTTTCTCAAAGTATAATAAACAATCAAGAAAAAATATAGATAATCACTATTGATGGTCAAGATTGAGAGGGCTACATGATTGTGTTATGGTACCAACCACATCTTGTCAGCATGAGGAGCCCCGTTACTGAAATTGCCCTGCCGTAGCTCTTGTGATGGCACAAGCAGCCAAAACTAAAGTAGGATGGTTAGAATGCAGAGAGAAATAAGTGGGTGGATGAGTCCTCACCCTCAGCATCTATCAGCCTGTAAACAGCTTTCCTCCCAGGGACAGTGCTCTTCTCTGGGTCCTCGCTAATCTTCATCCTGGGACTAGCCCTCACCTCCACCAGCTAACGTACAGACAATAAAATGGCATCATACAAAGGTTAACATAAAATAAATCAGTGCTAGGGGCGTCGCCCCACCTCTTCCCACATTCTAGATTGTCATTAAAAAATACTTACATTTTATACATTTTTTTTCAAAGGCAGACAGTTCCAGACAGTTTCACTCAGACACCAGTTGGTTCAGAGCGAGTTTAACTTTGCTACACAAAGTGCAGATTGCAACAGAAACAAAAGACACAGGGGAGGAAAACCCTGATGCAGTCAAACACAAACGTGGGAGACATGGATTTCATTTCCAGAGAGGTTGAACCTCCGATAAACTTCTACCTCAGCATCCCGGAAGACCAGGTCCGCTGTGAGCTGAAGGACAGCGAGGCGAGGCTGAGACCGGGGAAGTCTGAGGGCAGAGTCCACCTGGACATTCAGGAGGACCTGCTGGCTAACTTTCTCGATTACCTCCAAGAAAACCGGGAGAAAACAAAGCTGCAGGAGGGAGAGATTACTAACCTCACTGCTGCTCTAAAGAAGTCTGAATGTCTGAATATGCTGCCCAGCTCCAAGAAGAGAAACAGGCAACACCAAACTATCGGCTGCTCTGAAGGAGGCAGAGCAGCAGCTGGAGAGCAACTGCATCAAGACAGACACCGAAATAAAGGATCTGAAGGAAAGAGAGCAGGAGTGGCAGAGGTTGAAGTCAACCATGCTCCAGGTCAAAGAAAGGATGAAGCAGAATCTGGATCGGCAGTGGCAGGAGGAGAAGCCTCAAGCAGAGTCTGCAGGAGAAGGAGTGGAAGGTGGAGAAGACTGCCCTCACTGCAGAAATCCCAGAGCCTCCATCTCACCCAGGTGGAGATGTAGGAGCCTGATGGCTGCTCTTCAGAAAACCTTTGAAGATCAGGTGGAGAGGGAGCGCTTCCTCAGGCAGCAGGAGAGAACCTCCGTGCTGCAGAAGACATGAAGAAATCAGGTCTTCTTCAGGATGAAGAAAGGATGAGGCCAAATCTGGATCGGCAATGGCAGGAGGAGAACTCCACGCTCCTTCAGAAGAAAGGACGCCTCCAGCAGTCTTCAGGATAAGGAGGACGAGTGGAAGGAGACGCAGAGCTCCCTGAACGCTCGGCTGGAAGGTTTGGAGAGCCAGGTCACCAGAAAGGAGAGAAGAAGCAACTGGTTTAAGAAGCTCTTGCCCTGCATCTACAGTTCCACACTGAAGAAATGAATGAACTGTGTAATATGTGAAAATATGTAATGTTTGCTGTATTGTTGTTGTTCAAAAAGGGTAAGGCATAAGGGGACAGGCACTGGGTTCTTTTCAATCAAGGTTAAAACCTTTCTCTTAATGCAGCCTATCCTGAGATCCTTTAACCGTGCCTTATCATTGCACTTTTAGTTGCAGCCAGTATTCTATCGCTTTTATGAATTGTCTTTTTCGATATTGTGTTGGTTTGTTTTTTATTATTATGTGTTGAATGCCTATGTGAATAACTTTGAATTGCCTCTGTGTCTTAAAATGTGCTATACAAATAAATCAACCTTGATAACTGTGCCTGTTGCTGTGGTCCTGCCTGATGCTCACCTTACTACCTCTTTAATGGCACCCAGAGGATTGTTGACCTCCCCCTGGATCCATCTTCTTCTTATACTTTATGCATTTTTCAAGCATTTGGATGTATTATCTTTTTAATTTATACTCAACATCTATTGCATGTCTGTCCTGGGAGAGGGATCCCTCCTCCGTTGCTCTCCTCAAGGTTTCTTCCATTTCCCCCATTAACTTTTCTTTGGAAGCTTTTCCTTGTCCGATGTGAGGGTCTAAGGATAGAGGGTGTTGTATTCGTATTCATATTCTGTAAAAACTGTAAAGTGTGTGACACAGCTCCTCCTGCGGGGTGTCAGGTTGAAGGTGTCAGTCACATGACAGCCCTCACATGCTCTTTTACATCAGGCGTCACAATCTTACGCAGGCTGACATGCGACATTCACACTCTCCTGGCTCTGCCACGCAGGCATATTTCTGGGGATTAACAATGAGTGATATGTGTAATGAGGACCAAATGTTTCACACAACTAGGCCTCCACCTGGGGACTTCCAGTTGCCTTATCATGCCTTGAAATACAACATGGGTGTGACAGTGAATGTCACATGAGGCCAACTAGAAAATACAAGAATCAGTTTCAGAAGATAACCCCATTTGACTCAGTTATATGACATATGTTTTGAGTTTGTGTATAAGTTTGCTTGAATTTTGGTAGAGCCCCCCTATATATTCCGTATAACATATGAAAACATAAAAGTTTTATGCGTTTTGTATAGTACGTAAATCGGTAAGGAGTAAAGCGAGTTAAATTGTGACAGAAACGTACCCGACTCGAACTCCTTGTCGCTGGTAGATGGTCATAGATACATGCATGTCGCAGAGGTTCGCGAAAGGTTGCCGTTACAGGACCTGACAGAGAGGACTAACCACCTCAACCCAGGGTTATCGGCATCGCGGTGAAGACACTGAAGTGATCTTTACAAGTTTAGACCTAGTCAGACATAGTCTAGACAACGTCGGCGGGAAAAATTCTCTAAACCCATACCTCCTTTTATTCCAAGTCCATACAGCCTGTGACACCAACTCACAGGACCTTCGTGGCCCCTGTGTATAAGTACATATTTTTGCCATGTTTTCACGTAAAACGTACTATCCAGTGGAAATCTAGTCTCAACGAAGACTATCCAAATTCAAAGTTTTGTATATTATATGCTTAATTAGACCGGAACGTGATTTTGTTAAACTCCCATTAGCGATAATAACTATAGTCTTGTTGGGTCCAGAGTGCCGCGTAAAGCACATGTACAGTGCTTTAATTAACTTAGATATACTAACACAAGTGGTTGTGCTAAAAGGGAAAGAAAGCACAGTTGTCTTACTGAAATTTCGTTACGAAAAGATAACCGATCACACAAACACGGACGTTGTACAGAAAAAACGGCATCCCAGAACCTTCGGTCTTCGCGAACACCAAATATTTTAAAAGAAATGAGTTATACTTCGGTGCTAATAATAATAATTTTTTTTACATAATTACCGAGACTGAGAAAAAACGGGCAGGCGACTCTTTTATTTACCCCGAGTCTCGGAGCTCATATGACTTTAGACATAAAAAATTTTTAGAAAAAAGAAAGATTAAACAATAAAAATGTAACAAAAAATTTAGCACTGAGCACTTTTTTTACACAACCCACTTGTGCTTAGTCCACATCTAATTTCCATGCCGTAGCATGCAAACCTTGGGACGAGCTACTAGCGATCTTAAACTTTTATGTGCTGGCCGCTTTTAGACGAGAAGAATGTCTCGGGGAGAGGGTTGGTGTAACTTAGCGCGTGTACCCTGGTTACTCCCGTGCTCTTTCAACACGTGTCTACCTTCCGACTGTCCCGTCCGATTCCGTAGGTCAATAAAATCGGCCCGGCCGAGTCTATAACCAGCAATGAAATGTCAATGATGCGAAGTGTCTACTGTAAAGAAGTACCTAAAAAAAGTTTCGAATTCTATAAGTAACGATAGCCCTACAATTCCTCCGTAAGGTACCTTATATTGTTTCACATCGTACAAAGCTTAGCCATATATATACAAGCCACATTTACGTCGGGCTCGGCCACTGCGAGCGTTTCACGGCGCTGTACGTCGCGTCTCACCGTTTTGTTCCCGACGCTACTGTACGTGTGTACACCGTTTACCGTGTAAAACTCTCAGCCTAATGTCCTGCGCAAACATCTACAGGCTGCAACAACAGGTAACAACTCATTCTAATTTTTTTTTTTTTTTTTTGTTTTATATTAGTTTTAGTTGTTTTATTGTATTTTTGTATATAATTGTGGCCTCTTTTTCTATTTTTTATTGTTTTTTTATATCTCATTTATCTTATCTATATACTATATTTTATTGTTGTTATTTGTATCTATATTTCCGTTTATTATATATGTTTTTTTCTACTCGTATCTATTCTTAATTTTTGTATATATATATGTTAACTAGTATTATCCTTTTTATATGATCTTTTTTTCTATTCTTTTATCTATATCGTGCTAATTTATCGTAAAGCAAAAATTTCTTGGCAGGCTGCGAGGTGATTGTTTTGGTAGTTGGTCAACTATATCCTAATTTTTTTACAGTTGTGTGAGTGAGTGGGTGCAGAATTTGTAGGGTTTCTTCACGTGAGACAGAGAGCTATTACACGACCTACTTCAGTGACCGCTGGCTCATTTGGGTTTTATCAGGGTTTGCCGCGTCTCCGTAAAAAGAAAAAGATCAACAGGCTTCAAGGACCCGGCCGTTTACCGACGGCGGTAGGAACGAGTCGAGCCGAGACAACGACTCGAGATCTCGCCTCTTTTCTGCCTGACGGAGGGGACGGGAGACCGACCGCGTCACGACACGTAAATTTTGTGTTGGTTACAGCAGGGATAGGTTTTGAAGGCACAGGTCACATTTATCTTTACTTTGCGTAGACACTAAACCGCGTGTCAAGAACACTGCCAGTGCCATAACTTTTAGTATGGCTCTGCTCATATGCTTTTTATGGGACCATATGGCAATTATGGCAGTATGGCGGGTCCGATCACACACACACACACGAGCGAGCGAGCGAGCGAGTCCCGACTCAAAAGCGAACGGAGCGTCTAGGGAACGTCGTTGGTCCTTTTGTTGTGTCATTGGGATGAGTAAAATACAAGTACGAGGACACTACGCTTACACACAACACCATAGACCTAAAGTCGTCACCAGACAACTTGAAGACACGACACCGGAACCCGCGAACACACTCAACCCGATGTTTGGCGAGCCTCACGCAGACCTGTCGCTGCTAGAGACGTCCGTAGCGACCTTCAGGGCGGCGACACAAGTCTGAGGACGTCGCTCGCACATCACTTCCCCAGTAACGGCTTACACACGTAGAAATTTGCGGAACTTACCTTAATCTGGACTACAGACACAGACGAACAGACAACGAGGAAGTCAAAGAGGCAGAGACGGAAGTGAGTGACTGATAGCAGGAAACCCTGGTTGTTCGTAGGTGTCTCGTTCGTCTCGTACCAACCTCGAGTTGCTCTTCCATCCAATTGACTTGTACACCCAACTAATACTACTTTTGTTCGTCCAAAAAGAAAGGGAAGGGGACTACAAAAACCATTGTAACAAAGTCCTCTTACTCTAGCTACACCAAACCACAACGCTTGGTAGACCAGTGGACCGTTGTTTGGTTGGGAGCGACCCGACCACAATGTTCCCCATTACGAAAAAATTACAAAATATACAAGACACACACGATTATTACCCCACGGAAACAATTAAAAGTCACATGGAGTACGGGACTGTTTTTCATAATAAAATAAAATATACCCGTTGCCAAGGATCAATACGTTTTACGTTGAAACAGAAAATATGTAATTTATACACACAGGGCGAGAAAAGACGGCATGGGTTTAGAGATTTTACCCCCCATGTTGTTTCGACCAAGTCTAAACGACGGATATACGCATTATAACCTTTACACCCCGACCGAATGCGGGTGCCCGGGACAGTCTTTGCAGCGATAGGTCCTTTGTGTACCGCGTTGCACACAAACCTTTATTATAACCAGAAACAATGTAGTCGTGTAAACTTGTAAAATTAGTGGCCCGTCGTAAATCGAGGTCATAGACCCAGTGTTAAGAGGACGTATTCGAGGGGGGAGAAAGAAAAAAAATTTCGATGCCCTGGTCACCCGCCGACCACGTA